GGAGCATCACACACTGGGGTCTGTTGGGGGGGACTAGGGGAGGAACAGTGGGGGTAGGGAGGTTGGGGAGGGATAACATGGGGAGAAATGCCAGATATAGGTGATGGGGATGGAAGCAGCAAACCACATTGCCACCTATGTACCTATGCAACAATCCTACATGTTCTGCACATGTACCCCAGAACCTAAAGTGCAATTAATATATATATATATATTATATATATATATATATATATATAATATATATATAACACTGGAAAAATAAGAGAGTGGTATTACACAATCTATTAGATTTGATTAGTGACCTTACTGCATTTTTGTAAGAAAAAAATTCACTAACTATACAATTTTTACAAGAAACCTATGATAGAATCTGACTTTACTGGTGCAGTAGGTTTTCTTAGCTACTTACCATTAAAGAAAGGAAACACAACTTATAAATGAACACAACTTATAAACACAACTTCATAAATGAACAACTTATGTAAATAGACAATCATTGCAACATTATTTATCAATAGCAAAATAAAACTAACTCTCACATCAAAGGAGCATGGATAAACATATTTTGACATATCCATAGGAGAGAAAAATGCAGTCATTAAAATTAATATTTTTCGAGTAGCAGCAGCGTGGGGTCCCGTGCGGAGGGGCCGCTAGCGGTGTTGTTTCTCGAGCAGCGGCAGTTCTCACTACAGCGCCAGGACGAGTCCGCTTCGTGTTCGTCCGCGGAGATCTCTCTCATCTCGCTCGGCTGCGGGAAATCGGGCTGAAGCGACTGAGTCCGCGATGGAGAGAGAAAAGGAACAGTTCCGTAAGCTCTTTATTGGTGGCTTAAGCTTTGAAACCACAGAAGAAAGTTTGAGGAACTACTACGAACAATGGGGAAAGCTTACAGATTGTGTGGTAATGAGGGATCCTGCAAGCAAAAGATCAAGAGGATTTGGTTTTGTAACTTTCTCATCCATGGCTGAGGTTGATGCTGCCATGGCTGCAAGACCTCATTCAATTGATGGGAGAGTCGTTGAGCCAAAACGTGCTGTAGCAAGAGAGGAATCTGGAAAACCAGGGGCTCATGTAACTGTGAAGAAGCTGTTTGTTGGTGGAATTAAGGAAGATACTGAGGAACATCACCTTAGAGATTACTTTGAGGAATACGGAAAAATTGATACCATTGACATAATTACTGATAGGCAGTCTGGAAAGAAAAGAGGCTTTGGCTTTGTTACTTTTGATGACCATGATCCTGTGGATAAAATCGTGTTGCAGAAATACCATACCATCAATGGTCATAATGCAGAAGTAAGAAAGGCCTTGTCTAGACAAGAAATGCAGGAAGTTCAAAGTTCTAGGAGTGGAAGAGGAGGCAACTTTGGCTTTGGGGATTCTCGTGGCGGCGGAGGAAATTTCGAACCAGGACCAGGAAGTAACTTTAGAGGAGGATCTGATGGATATGGCAGTGGACGTGGATTTGGGGATGGCTACAATGGGTATGGAGGAGGACCCGGAGGTGGCAATTTTGGAGGTAGCCCTGGTTATGGAGGAGGAGGAGGAGGAAGAGGAGGATATGGTGGTGGAGGACCTGGATATGGCAACCAGGGTGGGGGCTACGGAGGTGGTTATGACAACTATGGAGGAGGAAATTACGGAAGTGGAAATTACAATGATTTTGGAAATTATAACCAGCAGCCTTCTAACTATGGTCCAATGAAGAGTGGAAACTTTGGTGGTAGCAGGAACATGGGGGGACCATATGGTGGAGGAAACTATGGTCCAGGAGGCAGTGGAGGAAGTGGGGGTTATGGTGGGAGGAGCCGATATTGAGCTTCTTCCTCTTTGCCATGGGCTTCACTGTATAAATAGGAGAGGATGAGAGCCCAGAGGTAACAGAACAGCTTCAGGTTATCGAAATAACAATGTTAAGGAAACTCTTATCTCAGTCATGCATAAATATGCAGTGATATGGCAGAAGACACCAGAGCAGATGCAGAGAGCCATTTTGTGAACGGATTGGATTATTTAATAACATTACCTTACTGTGGAGGAAGGATTGTAAAAAAAAAAAAAAAATGCCTTTGAGACAGTTTCTTAGCTTTTTAATTGTTGTTTCTTTCTAGTGGTCTTTGTAAGAGTGTAGAAGCATTCCTTCTTTGATAATGTTAAATTTGTAAGTTTAGGTGACATGTGAAACCTTTTTTAAGATTTTTCTCAAAGTTTTGAAAAGCTATTAGCCAGGATCATGGTGTAATAAGACATAACGTTTTTCCTTTAAAAAAATTTAAGTGCGTGTGTAGAGTTAAGAAGCTGTTGTACATTTATGATTTAATAAAAGGAAAAAAAAAATAATATTTTTCAAAATATTGAATATAGTAAAATTCTCACCATATCATGTTAGGAGAATAAACAAGATAAAAGAAAGTTAATTTTAAAAATGATAAAAGCATACACATAATAAGTAGACATACAACAAAATTTAAATTGGTCATATCTTGAATATTAAATTATAGGTGGTTTCAATTTTTTTCTTTCTAACTTTCTGTGTGGCCCAAAATATTTTCAGTGAGTTTTTGCGACTTTTGTAATTAGGTAAAAAAAAAAAAATTAAGGAGTATAATTTTTAAAATCTGGGTTGTTTTAAGAGTGGTTCGGCTAAAGAACAGGTGGATGGACTAAATGAACCTTTTTAACATCTCTTCAGTTCTAAGGACCATCTGCCCAGCCCTATTAACCAGTAACTAAAGAAAGAAGTTAGATCCAATTAGTAAAGCCAGAAAGAAATGCTGCCTTTGTGAGTTCTGTTTCCCTGTGCGTATCTGCCACCTTAAACTAATGGAGCTATTTATTGAGTTCAAGCTGTCCCCAAAGAAAGCTGCTTTTTACTTTGCTTCTGTGCAAATCTTGTTCACTTTTTACAACTGGCTACAGAATCAAAGCCAGCAGCTGGCCATCCGTGCAACTACACAGAACAATAGCCTCAGCCCAGCCTTCTGAAGAGCAGGCCTGCTCTGGTGTTGTGAATATATGCCTGCATAAAATGCAGACACCACCCAGGATGGTTGTATCTGCTGCTTCTGCTCAGGCGGTAAATAGGAAAATGAGAAAGCCAAAACACATCCAGGGCCACATCTCACTGGGTGCCCTTGGGAGACTCAATTGGACATTAGTTTATCTTTAAAGGAGGAATCATAATGGCTTGCTCTGATTATGCCCTATAAAGTATGTAAGTGGTTTATAAACTGCAGTTTTAACATATTAGTTGTTAGGTGATCGTGTTCACATTTTTTGTGTAATTCCTTTTTCAAGTACATACATAATGATGATAAAGAACAGTAAAATAGCAGCAGCCTTCCTGCCATGCCCAGGACTTATGCCACTTTGTAATGTGATCTCAAAATGGACTGTAACGGGATGGCCCAGTGCTATTTATTATCACCACTTAAAGTGAACCCATATGCCAGTGGCATATTGAGCTAACAAGCTGTGATGTCATTGGCAGAAGCAGCTCTTCCAGAAGGCAGAGTTGCTAAGGATTGTCTATGACATTATTCTATCAGCATATTGGATGCTGCTCGTCGGTAGTAGCGATGGTATCAGGGGAAATAAGGTCAAGTGAAGCAGTGAGTTATTTGTGACTTAGGGGTTACCACCTGTCAAAAATCATACATACAGATTATGATTTTTTTTCCAAAATTAAGCTGATTAATTTTGGAAAAATTAATAGGATTATCACCACTTATATTTTTTTGCCCAAAAATGTTTATTAATTTTATAGTAGATAGCCCTTTTCCTTGTCAGAACAGAGTAATATTCAGGTATGAGCCCATCCTGCCATGCTTTCTTTCTTTTCACCAAATTAATAGATCCGTATTACTTTTTGAGGTAGGAGAAATATTGTTGATGTATTTCACAATCGTCCCTGTTCTGATTCTCTTTCTATCTTACTGATTAAACCTTCCTTGACGCCCTACTTGAGAGCATGCTGATTTTTTTTTCCCTTGAGTCTAGTAACCAAAAAAAAACTAAGCTCCACTGTCCTATTAACAACGGATTCTTACTGTCCAATGAGTAGTGGAATTTTGTTCAAGAGACAGAATAATGGTAATGGTTGCTTTACCAAAAAGTCACTTTGGCCAGCTATGTGGGCCGTAGGCAGGGAGATGTGTGAGGAAGAAGTTATAATCCAGATGATACTTGGAGATTTCTTCAACCAGGGCTTTGGTATTCAGGGATGGGAGGAAGGATTCAATTAATATTTAGGAGGTAAAATCAACAGGTACAGATTGGATTTGAAAATGAATGCCAGGTTTCTAGGTTGGGTGCATGGGGTGACACACCAAGGAAGTAGCTACCGATGTTCTTTGTCTCCTTACAGTCTACAAGAGAAAAGAAACATAAAAACAGGCAAGTGCAATTTACTGAATAATTTCCAACGGCCAGGAATTATGCTTAACATTCTAGATGCCCTGTCTCATTGGTTCTTCTCATCAGTCCTATGAGGTACTGTTATTATTGCCATTTTAAAGATGGGGACACTGAGGTTAGGAAAGATGAAGGAAGGTGCTCAAGTTCACTCACGTGTGTGGTAAACCCAAATCTGAAACCTCCCAGGTAGGCTGACTGCAGAGCCTCTGCTACTCACTGCTTTGTAATGTTTACTTGTAAATACTCTAAACCAAATTTAAAAAAGAAGCCCTTTTAACCACTTAGAAGAACTAACTGCCAGAGAGTGTTTTACATTTAGCCATTCACATAAAAGTAATGCAAATTAGTAGTTATTTTATTCTTAAACTCATATTTTAATATACAAATAAGATTTCTAATTCCCAAAGAGAGAATCTTAGAAGATAGTTTGAAAGATGAAAAGTGGTAAACTGTTTCATTAAACCCATTTATTTTTTAATATTATTTAAAAAAAAAAAATATATATATATATATATATAATTGCATTTTAGGTTCTGGGGTACATGTAAAGAACATGCAGGATTGTTGCATAGGTACATACATGGCAATGTGGTTTGCTGCCTCCATCCCCATCATCTATATTTGGCCTTTCTCCCCATGTTATCCCTCCTCAACTCCCTACTCCCCACTGTTCCTCCCCTAGACCCCTCCCCCCACCCCACAGACCTCAGTGTGTGATGCTCCCCTCCCTGTGTCCATGTGTTCTCATTGTTCAACACCCACCTATAAGTGAGAACATGCAGTGTTTGATTTTTCTGTTCTTGTGTCAGTTTGCTGAGAATGATGGTTTCCAGATTCAATCATGTCCCTACAAAGGACTCGAACCCATCATTTTTTATGGCTGCATAGTATTCCATGGTGTACATGTGTCTCATTTTCCCTGTCCAGTCTATCACCGATGGGCATTTGGGTTGGTTCCAAGTCTTTGCTATTGTAAACAGTGCTGCAGTGAACATACTTGTGCATGTGTCCTTATAAGAGAACGATTTATAATCCTTTGGCTATATACCCAGTAATGGGATTGCTGGGTCAAATGGAATTTCTATTTCTAGGTCCTTAAGGAATCGCCACATTGTCTTCCACAATGGTAGAACTAATTTACACTCCCATCAACAGTGTAAAAGTGTTATTATTTCTCCACATCCTTTCCAGCATCTGTTTTCTCCAGATTTTTTAATGATCGCCATTCTAACTGGCGTGAGATGGCATCTCAATGTAGTTTTGATTTGCATTTCTCTAATGACCAGTAAATGACCAAAATTCTTATAATAAACATGTGGAAACTACACAAGACCTTAAGGGTCCTGCCTCCTACCTCATGGTCCAATGCCCTTCATATTACTTTGTCCGTATATTTAAGTAGAGTTAAGAGATTAAAGTTTGTACCTTTTCAGCACAAACTTTGACTGACTCTTCTTGGAATCTATTTAGTGCTTTATTATAGATGCACTTCATTTGTCTCTATTGTTTCCCAGATGCAGTTATGGCTTGATTGTGTCATTGTTCCCTTAAAACTCAAGATTCTAACCTACAGGAACTGGGAGCAATTTTCAGTGTTTCGTGCTTTCTTGCTTCTGGCCATATTGTGAGGCTGTCTTCAAGGTAGTCCCCGTAGGTACTCATTCAGATAGAATGGCTTGTGAATTGTTCTTTAAACTTTTAATTTCAACATCTTTAAATTGCACTTACTTGTTTTCATGTTTGGTTCTCTCTTCTAGATTTTAAGTTATCCGAGATCATAGTGCCTTGGTTGTCTTACTGCTTGGCACACTATGTGGCACATTGCAATAAGTGTTTTTTAAGTAAATAAGCTTGGAAATAATTATAACTGATTTCTTTTTTAAACTTCTTTTGTTGATACCTGCTTTTCTTCTCATTTATCTGAATCAATGGGTCATTATGGAAGGTGAGCTTGTTGGAGGAAATAAACATTTCAATTGCACCTGGGCTCTCTTCTTAGTGTACTTTTTCCTCAGCACGCCACAATTACCTAAATTCAACAAAGCAAAAATAATGAAACCTAATTAAAGGTGAAAACATAAAGTAGTTTATTAATTTAAATAAAGTGAGCCTGTTATCCCCCTGACATTTTTTTTTTTTTTTTTTTGAGATGGAGTCCTGCTCTGTTGCCCAGGCTGGAGTGCAGTGGCACCATCTTGGCTTACTGCAGCCTCTGCCTCCTGGCTTCAAGTGATTCTCTTGCCTCAGCTACCTGGGTAGCTGGGATTAGAGGTGTGTGCCAGCATGCCTGTCTAATTTTTGTATTTTTGGTAGAGATAGGGTTTCACCATGCTGGCCAGGCTGGTCTCAAATTCCTGACCTAACGTGATCCGGCTGCCTTGCCCTGCCACAGTTCTGGGATTACGGACATGAATCACCATGCCCGGCCCACCCTGACGTTCTTAATGCCTTGATTCTGGAAGATGCAGTTCTTAGTAACCAAGCTGTGGCCCTCTGATGTCACTTTAGAGAATGATTAATATATCACGTGGTTAGCTGGGCTCTGAGATGATCTCTGTGACAAAGCAGTCTACATTGTTCTTCCAAGGAAGAGATTTGTGTGTGACATATTGAAGTGGAATTGGTTTTGTTCGGTCTGTTATTTCACA